AGCCTACCCCAAGCCCACCCTTTCACCCTGCAACTTTACCAGACTTCTCTGCTTGACACCTAGGCAGCCTCAGACCCTGTGCCTGTTGCCAATCTGTGACCTCACCAAGACTGCCACTGCAGTGTGCCTAGTCCCACAGGGGACAGGGCAGGGTGGGTAGGACTGCAGCCAGACAAGGACTGCAGGGGAGACTCCCTTCTGAGGAGCAGAGTTGCCAACTCCCAATGCAGCTGCTCTGTCAGCACCTATGGGGGCAATCCCTTGGCCCTCCCCACAGCTGCTCACCCCAGTTCTCTGCTCTTCCCTGGAGTTGGGTGCCCTGGAGCCTGGTAAGGCCCACCCAAGGCCTGAGGCAGCTAGAGGGAGAGGGGCCTGTACCTTCTGGCTGGGTCTTCCCTAGGCTTTCCCGGCTGCCACATCCCCGTTCACGTAATCGGGTTCCTCGTCTGGGCTTCCTGCCGGGGAGGGAGGTGCCTCTCTCTGGACTTGTTCTGTGGGCCAATGGACAGACAGGTAGTCAGAGAGTCACACAGACACATCACCACTGTTTCCCCAGCCAGGGTGCCTGTGCTCAGCCCCCCAGACTTCCACGCACAGCCTGTGGGAAATGCCACTCTGGACAGGACTTGGCAAGTGTGTCTGACCCATCTCTGGGATTCGCCAGAGGTCATCGTGCTCTGAGAATACGTTGGTGTATTGCTCTGGCCACGCAGATGGACAGGCGGGAGGCCTACCCAGGAGGCCCAGGTGGCTGCTGAGAAAATCCTGGCATAGGGGCCGGCCCGGTGGCGCACTGCGCTAGTGCGCCGCTTGGGAAGCGCGGCGGTGCTCCCGTTGAGGGTTCGGATCCCACATACAGACCGGTTCCCGCTCACTGGCTGAGCGAGGCGCGGGAGCAACACCGAGGGTTGTGATCCCGTTGCCGGTCCCGGTCCGGTACGGGGGCGACACTGAGGGTTGCGAACCGTTGCCGGACACGGGACACGGAAAAAGACAAAAAAAAAAAAAAAAAAAAAAAAAAAGAAAATCCTGGCATAGTTCAAGTCCCTGCCATGGTGGATGTGCCAGATGCTCCGATGTAGAATCAGCTGGGCTGGCTGGAGGGAAGCCCACCTTGGCCTGGCCCTTCCAGGCCAGCCCCTCTGAGTTCACCCAGCAGCCTCTGCTCTCGGCCACATACCCACGACCTTCCTGGACTCCTGCCACTGACGGATGGACATCGAGTTCTGATAATCCTCAGATTCCTCATTGCCTGTGAGCACAGGGACAGGGGTTGGAGGAGGGGCAGCCACCCCGGCCAGTCCTAGAGCCAGTGAGGGGCCATGGCCTTCCCTCCACAGAGGTCTCCTCTGCCCCATGCTGGGCAGCCCCAGAGAGGGAGGAAGGGATCCTCTCAGCTCATCCCACTGAGGTGCCAGGAGCTGATGGGACCTTGTCCCAGGACATGGGGACAATGCTTTACCCAAAGGCACCTAAGATATCAGTGACCCTTCGGGCTTTGAGGTGGGCTAAGGCTTTGAGCAGTGGAGACTTCTGATCTTGCGAGTGCAGGTGGGCCCAGCTGCCAGGAGCTGATGGGACCTTGTCCCAGGACATGGGGACAATGCTTTACCCAAAGGCACCTAAGATATCAGTGACCCTTCGGGCTTCGAGGTGGGCTAAGGCTTTGAGCAGTGGAGACTTCTGATCTTGCGAGTGCAGGTGGGCCCAGCTGGGGGGATCTGCTTCTCCTGGGCCCAGCTTGCCAGGACAGGCAGCCTCACCTGCCTCTGAGGTCGTCTGCTTGCAGATGAGCACATTCTCGTAGGAATTGGCATCATCGTCATCTGCTAGAGAGAGCGGGCGGGGCTTGGAGGATGCCAGTGGGTCCTGCCTGCCAGGCCGGGCTCCTCCTCCCTGCCCTCCCTTTGCAGGTGACCTATCCCGTTAGGCTCCGCCTTCTGGGTTCCCAGGCCCTTGAGCATTCTCCCGGGTGAGGCTGTGAATGGCTGCTGGCTTGGCTCCTGTGGCCTCCACCCTGGGCCCCTTCTCTGTTTTCTGAGGTCACATCTGAATGTTACTGGGGGGGCCCCCGGGGAAGGGCTGCAATTCAGGCTCATGAGGGATAGTTGCGGGGAGGGAGGCAGGGACTGGCCTCAGGGGCTTGTCTCCACAGGGTGACAGGATCAGTAGGGGGAGCTGCTGGGGGCCGCAGCTGCAGGAGGTGGCTGGGACTCTTCTAGCTAGGCAGAGCATCCTGAAGAGCTCTTGGCACAGGAACCTAGGCTAGTATGGCACCTCAGAGCCTGGCACCCTCCCATCTCCACTGTCATCACCCTGCCATGGGGAAGCTGGGCTCTACCCACTGCCCCACCCAGCATCCATCTCTGACAAAAGGGCTCCAAGAAATGAGCCCCTTCCCCAGTTGGGAAGGGGCAGGAGGAAGAAGAGGATCTCCTGCATCATCACGGCCCAGGCAGGAGCCAGGGCGAGGAGCTAGATTCAAGCCCCAGGTCCCAGACCTCTCAGCAGGCCCTGCCCACCCTCAGCCCTCAGTTTCTCTTTCTGTAAAGCCAAGGTGGTAAGAGCTAAGGCTCTGGAGTAATCAGAGCCTGCGGGGCTTGGCTTCTGCCAGAAAGGCCACCCTTTCCAGGGCCTCCCTGAGGTCCTGTCCATGCTCATCAGGAGCTGCCCAGGCCTAGAGGATGAGGGACCCACCCATCCCCTCTGGCTCCCTCCCCCGTGGCCCACACCAGCCTTCCGTCCTGCCCAGCATGGCTCCCACCTGTCGTGCAGCCTCCCCCATATTCCCACCAACCCTGACTCTGTCCAATCCTCAGCCCAGCCGCCTCCTCTGCGCGGTCCCCAGCCACCTTCTCTGGCAGGAGTGCAGCTTCTGCGCCCGCTCCCACCCACACCTCCCACTCTAGTACCTTGTCCTCTGCCTCACCTTCTGGCCGGGGCTTTGGGAACCACCCACAGTTGTAATAGTCTGTGGCAATGGGGTCTCTGGCCAAGAAAACAGACACAGCACAGCTTGCTTGGTGGGCTTCTGGCCCGGGTGGGGTACCCCATCGGGGGACAGTGAGGCCAGGGCTGCTCCAGCCATTGCTCCCTCAGGGCCCAGCGGGGGAGACTCTGCCAGGGTCCCCCCTCCAACCCCATCATCCTCACTTCCCTGGGACCTGAGCCACCCTGGGGTGGTAGCTTGGCTCCAGCCATCTTGCTGTGACCTTAGGCCAGTCCCCGCCTGACTGGGGCCACAGTTTGCCCATCTGTGAGATGAGGGGACGTCCCCAAGGGTCCTTGCTCTCTGGAGTTCTGGGCATGCCTGTAGCTTGTCTTTGGGAGAGGTGGAGGGAGTCTCCCCTCCACAGCCCCTCCCCCATGGCAGGGCCATATCCCCATCCCCACAAAGCCAAAGTCACTGGTGGGAAAACAATGTTACCTAGAGCCTGCCTGGGCCCCACAGGAGGTGAGGGCAGTGGTGGGTGGGGCAGGACAAAGGGGTGGCCAGGGTGGGGAGAAGACCACTCACATGTAAGCTGCATCTGATCCGTGCCTGCTTCCTGCAGGAGGAGGTGGGAATTAGACCTGAGCTCCCGGGCTGTGGGCTGCCACTGAGACCCCCTCCCCAGGAGCCCACCTACCTTTGCTGAAGTTCTGGTACCTGGAGGATGAAGAGTCTGGAAGAAAGCCCAGGCTCATTGCTCCCTCCCACGTCCCCTGCCTCCCGCTGTGGCAGCCCAGGAAAGGGCCCAGGTGTTTCCAACATTCATACCTGTGCCCTTGTGGGGGAGGGGAACAGGGGTGCCCTCCCCCGTGGGCCAGTGCCATCAGCCTGCCCAGCCCCAGCTGGTGAGTCTCTCCTGGGAAGGCCTCCCTGTCAGGAGCCCCGCAGGCCACCCCTGCACAGCACATGTCAGCCTCAGCGAGGCTTGTCCCGCCCCTGACCACTCACCCTCCAGGCTGGGGGAGAAATGCAGCAGCTTGTCCTTCCTGCAGGGTTGCAGAGGCAGAGACTGAAGGAGGGGCCGTGAGGGAGAGACCCCAGGGCTCCTGGGGGTCTGAAAGCCCGGTCACAGCTCCCCAGCCCCCTGGGGGCCCCTTGGAGCCCAGCACTGGGGCTCTGGGACCAGGCGGGGACCCCTGGGGCCCTTCTTCTCATCGCTTCCTGGGGGGGCTGGGACCCCCTCAGGGCCCAAGACAGGGAGCTCATTCCTACCTTGTGGTCGCCATGTCAGGGGCCATGCCCACGAGGCGCCCTGGCCATGCCTGCTGGACCACTGTGAAGGGCAAGGGAGGTGTCAGCCGGGTCCCAGGCCAACCCAGCCAACACAGCCCCTATCACCCCACCAGGTCAGGCCTGGGGACTCACGGGAGTAGGTCCGGGCCACCTCAAAGCTCTGCGGACTCTCCTGCCTGGAAACACAGGGGCTGTGCTGAGACAGGGCCTGGCCTCCCACAGCCCAGGGGACACAGGGACAGGAGAGACAGGCGAGGAACAGATAGAGAAGGGATGGACTAGGGTGATAATGAGGAGGAGATGCCACCCCTCTGGGCCTCAGACTCATGCCCCTGACGCCCCTATGCCCTGGACTGATACTTCCTCCCCACACTGGGTGCCCACCCCTCACACAGGGCCCTGAGCTGGAGCCAAACCCATCTCCCAACACAGCAAGAAGGCCATGGCGTGCTAGAGATGGTCAGGAGCGGTCTGTGAGAGGGCCAGGCAGGTGGGCCTGAGGTTCTAGGGCATGAGGGTGGAGGTGGCTGCTCAAGGACCCAGTGGTGGCTTGGAGAAAAATTATTTTAATCAGGAGTAACAAAGAAGCTGCCCCCCACCTCCCACCCCCAGGAGAATCTGCTATTCCTAAGAGGTCACATGCCTCTAGGGGTGTTCAAACACCATTTACTCCCAGATGACTAGTGCGGCAATTCCAAGGCCTGGCAGACACAGCCAGGTACCTAGCCATTGCTTGGTCTCTCCTTCCTTTGAAACAGAACCTTGATTTTTATTTAGGCAGCCACATGACCATCTATAAGATGATTTCCCAGCCTCGCTTGCACCTAAGTGTGGCCATGGCATTAAGCTTTGGTCAGTGAGATGCAAGCGGTTGTTGATCTTTCCAAGAAATCTCCTTAAAGGGGGCACTGCCAACTGGGGTACACCGTTTTTGTCTTATCCCTTCTTTCTTCCTATTGCTTGGAATGCAGAGATGAGGGCTGGAGCTTCAGCTGCCATTTTGGACCAGGAAGTGACCTTGAGAATGGATGGAAGCCACCGTTACAGATGGTGGAGCACATGGGTTAATCATCAAAGCAGGTGTTCGGACTCCTCCCCTGGCCCAGAATGGGTACTTGACCCAGCCTTCCAGGAGATCCAAGGGGACTGGGGGTCAGGGTGATCTGATCTAGGAGGGATTGCAGGGGAGAAGCACACATGGCTTCCTGGAGGAAGCAGTGCAGGAGCTGGGCCTGGTGCACACAGCAGGCGCTTCATGTGGGCTGGTGGGACTGAAACCAACTCAGGTGAGAAATGGAGAGGCAGAAAAAGGCATTCACATGAGAACATTCAGCTTCTGGCCCTGACAGTCTTCTGCGGAAAGATCAATCAGGGGTCAGGGGTGAGCAAGGACTGAGGGGAGAGGGGAGGTGCCCAAGGAGGCAGGGGCGGTGGCGGGGGGCACAGGGGAGGTTGCAGGCAGGCAGGCCAGAGGGCTCAGTGGCTGCAACAGCCCGGAAATGTCCAGCCCTGGCCCAGGGTGGGCTGGAATGGGAAGTTGTTATTTTCAAATCTCACTGTGGTTTTTCGGTTGCAAAAGGAAATGAGAAAGCACGTGTGTATGTGTGTGTGTCTGCGTGTGTGTCTGCGTGTGTGCCTGTGCGTGTATGTGCATGTGTGTGTGAGTGTCTGCCCGTGCGTGCACACGAGTGTTGTGCTGTGTGTGAGTGTGTGAGCATGGACGAGTGCAGGGGAGTGTGTGCATGTGGGTGTCAGAGGTGTCCCAGGCCTACGGTCAGTCACCCTCTTAATCAAAGGACAGCACTGGCCACTGCCCTATGCCCACGTTGCTCTTGGGCGTCAGCTCTACCCCTAGCCTGCAGCGCCCACACACTGGCCCTTCCAGGGTCTTTCTCACAGTCCTTCCCATTCCCTCTATTGGCTCTCCCTGATCCCCCAGGGGACAGGCCCATAGCCTCTCCTGATCTCCTTTAGCATTTTCCAGGGGATCCCTGGGCTGGGGTCAAAAGGAGGCCAAGGACATGGGTGCCTGGACCTCTGGAGGTGCTCATAGGCAGGCTGGACAGTGGCCAGCTGAACAGCCCAGGCGTCCCCACCTCCCTAAGCCCTCCCTGACCCAGGCTGGGGCTGGCCCCGACAGTTCCTAGGCTCTATCTCTCCCTCCCCTGATTGCTGGGCATCCCCTCGAGCCTGGCGTGGAGGAGGCATGAGTGAAGGAGTGAGGTATAGGGTAGAGGGATGCCATCAGGGATGCCATCGGGGATGCCCAGGCCCAGGGCACACGACTATCCCAGGCTGGGGACCCCGAGGAAACTCACAGACTTCTCTGTTCATAGATTTTCTCTGACCTCTTGGCACCTGCAAGAACAGGCTCAGATTAGCAAGTGTTCCAGAGCCAGTGGGAACTGAGGTCCAAGGCTCCCCTCGCCTTGTCTACCCGGGCCCTCTGCAGGTCTGGGACAGGACTCAGGCACCATGCTGCCAATCATGGGCCACCTCACATTGAAAGGGTATTTGCTCAGCCTTGTTTTAGGAGAGGAGAGCTTGAAAAGGTGGATGCCACAGGCAACGCAGCCTCCCTCCCTTGTCCAGAGCAAGTCCCCTGGCCCCGATACCACATGACACAGCAAAACCAAAGCCCCCCAGACAACCTGCCCATTGTCTTCAGGGGGCAGTTTAGGGGCCCCTAGGGAAGCTCCTCTGACTGCCCCTTCTGACCACAGCCAGGTCTCCCCCTGAGAGGGCCTCTGGGATGCACCGTAACTGTGTCCTCCCCCACTGCACCCCCAGGCCTCCCCCTTTACCTGGGCGGGAGCAGCGCACACAAAGGCCAGCGGCCGCCCCCAGCAATAGCAGCAGCGCCAGCCCCGGCCACAGCAGCTCGGTCTCTGCACTCATGTCTGCTCCGAGCAGCCCCTCCTGCAGTCTGCAATGGGGCAGAGGTGGGGGCCTGTGAGCCCAGCCCCCGCCCAGTCCCGCACTCCCAGGTTTCTGATACCTACTGTGCCCTAACAACCCCACAGCCAAGCCCAGGCTGCAGGATGCCACCTTCCCCACCTGCTCCTGAGACTGGGCCAGGACGGGACTGGGCCAGGACGGAACCGGCCCTTTTCTCCCCATGTGACCCCAAACTGGCATCTCCAGCCACTGGGGCCATCACCATACTAGGTAAGTGCTGGAAGCTTCCTAGACAACACCACATGCACACACGCAACCCTAAACACACCCTCACTTAATCCATCAACAGCCCTTTAAGGGAGAAGTCTACCCATTTCATAAAGCAAGAAACTAAGGCTGGAGAGCCCATAGCTGCTGTGTGAAAAAATAGGATTCAAGCCCCACTCTCCCGACTCCAACTCTGGCTCCACTTGCCACAACCCGTTGCTTCCTGAAAACCCAAGTTGGCTCCTAGAGGTCAGAGTCCATGGCCCCTCCCTGCACAGGAGCCCCTGGTAGTCCTCATCCCTGGCTTCCTGGGGAACCTGGGAATGGGATTTCCATTCCACAAACACCTGTGAGCCCAGATTCTGCCTATCGTGGGAGCTGGGCAGAGGGAGGACACGCAAGGCTTCTTTAGAGGAGGGGGCCTGAGAGTGTGAGGTAGAGAAAAGCGCTTGGCAGAAGGCTGGGGCCTGAGGCAGCTGCCTGGCGCCTGGTAGTGGGACGAGCCAGGATGACCGGGGCACCAGGAGGGAGGACGATTGGGCTGGGGAGGCCCTGTCTCCCCAACTGGCGTTGGGCCATGCTGTGGTGGCCAGGCCTTGGCAAAGCCACATGCATGGCACACACCATGGTCTTGGGGCACCAGGAGGGAGGACGATTGGGCTGGGGAGGCCCTGTCTCCCTAACTGGCATTGGGCCATGCTGTGGTGGCCAGGCCTTGGCAAAGCCACATGCATGGCACACACCATGGTCTCTTGGGTGGGCTACCAAGAATTGTTGCATCTGGAAAGAGACTCAGCCCTCCTCATGATGGCAGGGACAGAGCAACGGGGGTCTCCGAGGGGGCCGTGCCTTGTGGCGGGCACTCGTGGAGCCCACACTCCTGAGCATCCACTCTGTGCACACCTGTCTTTCCTGCCTGGGCCACCAGTGAGGAGGGCTTCTCCCCATTTTACAGCTGGGGAAGGTGAGGCTTGGAGTGGTTACAGGACTCAAGAAGAGGAGCTCCGTCCTGCCCACTTCCCAGTCCTGCCCGGCTCCCCTGAGGCCTACACTGGACCCAGGCTGTCCCCTCACTAGCTGTGGGGCCTCAAGCAAGTCTCGAAGCCTCTGAGCTTCCTGAATCCTTGTAGCAAAGATGACAAGGACCCTCCGTGCTGAGCCACAGTCAGGAGCCCATCACAGGGAAGCCACGCCCGTCCCCAAAAGCCAAGTGAATCAGTGGGAACAGTGAACTCCCAGGCCGTGTGACCAGCACGACCCATGACGCCCAGGATGTGCGTGAAGGGAGCTCTGCTCTCCCTGCTTTTTGCCCTGCTGGCCACTGACTCCTTCCTCCTCTGACCTTGCCTACCTCTGCCCTGCCATCCAGGCCACAGGCCACGCTTCCACCCCAGCCCCCCTGCCCTGGCCTGAGGCCATCTCAGGCTTTGTGAAGTTGGGAGCTCCTGGTCTTGGAGGGAGGACTCCTGGATTAAATCCTGCCTATGCCTGAGGGTCTCTGAGCCTCAGTCTTCTCATCTGTAAAATGGGGATCAATCTAGTGCTTCTCTGAACGTCTTGATGGGGGATAAGTTCGTCTAGCTTGGCTCAGTCAGGGCTTCCTGACTGAGGCTCTGATTTATGGCTGACAGCTCCCTCAGTCTCCTGACCCTTGACATTTTTCCTCTTTGGTTAGGACAGTGACTCCTTCTGTCCCCAAAAGAGATTCGGGCACAGGCATATGGGTGCTGCCCATATGCATGAGAGCCGAGACAGGGCCCAGCACCAGCCAACTTGAGTCTGCCTAAGAGACCAGGAGCAAGTCACACTCATGGCCTGGCGTTCAAGGCCCTGGGCGGGAGCTGGCCTGCCGATGCCAACCTCTGTCCCAGAGGGCCCCAGGCACTAGTGAACCCTACTGCTTCCCAGAGCCTGCTGTCCTGGGACAAGCAGAACAACCCAGGGTGCCCCTAGCTCTGGGCAGGCGCTGGGGCTGGCCTGGCCATGTCCTCCCATCTCCAGTAAACAGGGGAAATAGTGACACTCATCGCTCGGGTTTGTCATCTGAGGCCCTAATGTGTGTGCACAGGGCCGGGCCATGGTCAGTGGTGACGACCAGAAAACTCTTGTCTCCATCATGGTCCCTAAGGACTGTGGAATGGGAAAGGGCAGCAGGCAGCCTGCAGAAAACGCTGTGAGGTAACTGGCTGGGGCCTGCCCTGCTGGCTGCCCCCAGACACACACAGGACTGCCCCCCCTCACACTGACCCCCACAGGGGCTGAGGTGCTGGGACTCCTGGAGGGGTTGGGGTCTAAAGAAGAGCAGGTGCAAATGCATGGGACAGTTGGTTCCCAGGCCCTCACCTCGCTGCTCAGTGTCACATGGAAGATGTCTCTGAGCCCAGCACCTGTCTTCCAAGGGAGCAGAGGGAGGCTCAGAGAGGTGCGTACTGCAGTCTAGGTCACACAGCAAGGGGGGCACAGAGCTGGGATTCAAACACAGGGCAGGCTGACTCCAAATGCCACACTCCTGCATCCTTCTTAAATAATGTTATTTTTTTTGGCAGCTGGCCAGTACAGGGATCTGAACCCTTGACTTTGGTGTTATAACACTGTGCTCTAACCAAATGAGCTAACCGGCCAGCCCCTTTTTAATAATATTTTTAAAAAGAGAAACTTAAAAAATAAAAGAGAGAAACTAATTTAATGAACACTTATGTGTCTGCACTGGACTGAATAAATTCTGTGCTCTGTCTGTCTCTTTCTGTTTCTATCTCTGTCTCTTTCCCGCCCAGGTTCTTTTTTTATTATTATTATTAAGAATATTCAAGAGATACAAAGATGATTGTCGTGCCCAGGTTCTAAAAGCAGGTGGGGTGACAGTGAAGGGAGACGAGGCTGGGCCCCAGGGGATAGGCAGGCCGGGCAGCCCCAAGAGGGCCCCAGGGGCCTGGGCAGGGCTGGGGTGGAGGGGCCACCACAGACCTGTGGTTCTGCAGGCCAAAATAGCACAAGGGGAAGTAGGCAGTTTTCATATGAACAAGGTTTGCACAGAGCTGGCTGTGGGAAAGCTCTCGGGGCTGGGCTGGGCGTGCCGCAGTCTCGAGCCTCCTGCCCGGAAGGGCCCATGGAGACCACCCTGACCCATCTCCCAGCCCTCCACATGCTGTAGATGGGGGAATTGAGGCCCAGTGGGACCGCAGGCAGGCAGGGGTTAGGGGTGGAGTGAGAGGTGGCACCCTAGCTCAAAGCCCTGGGATGGCTTTATCCACTGGCCTCTGCTCTGGGGCCTGTGGTTTTTTCCAAATAACTCGGCCTCAAATGAGGATGGCTGAGAGGCCTCTACAAGGGAGGGAGGAGGCAGGAGCGTGGGGATGGCAGGGGCATGGGCAGCCCTTGTCCCAGAGCTGGAGGCTGTCCAGCCAGGGCCACCCGTCGACAGAGGAAGGCCCAAGGAGCTCCCCAGACCCTGGGAAGAGAGCTGCAATCAGGCCGGGGGCTGGAGGGGGTGGGGGTGGCAGGGACAGCTGCTTCCATCCAGCCTGGGGAAGGAGCTGGGCACACTTGCCTGTACAGTCAGGGTCCTGGGCAGCTGCTGTCCTGGGCTCTCAGCTGCCCCTTACCATTCTCTGGCAGTGATGGGACCACGCTGGGGGCTTCCTGGGGCTGTGCAGACTGTGCTAGGGAAGGGGAGGGCAGGAAAGTGGCTGGAGCCCCAGAAACAGGCTGCCCCTCGGAGTGCTGCAGCGCCAGGGCGCCGGGGCAGGAGACGGGCCAGGGGAGCAGATGCCAGGCATCCTGGCCTCCTGCACCCCTCCCAGCATGCCGCCAAGGGCTCCTGCGGGGTGTGGGGGCGCAGCCCGACCAGCCTCAGGCCAGGCTCCAGGTGCTCCTGGGACCGGCTTACCTGGCGTTGGAGGCTCCTCACTGTGGCCGCCCCATCCTGAGCCCGCACACCTACTCCAGCTGCCACCAACGCTGCTGACACTGGCGGGCAGCAGGCGCGGCGACGGGCTTCCTGTCGGTCCCTGAATCATCCCTCACATCCGCTGCCACGCCAGCTGGGCCCAGCCAGCAAGTGACAGACCAGACAGAGGCAGAGAGGAGACGAGAGAGCGACAGGCGAACACCAGCACAGCAGAGAGCAGAAAGACAGGGACACACGCTAAACACACACCCGCGCAAACACAAAAAGCCACACAGAGCAAGACAGACACACACTGAGGACAGGGAAACAGAGAATGAACCGAGGTGCTCACATAGACACACACACACACACACACACACACACACACGCACGCAGCCACTGAAAACCCCCCACCCGCTCCAGAGGAAGAGAACCAGGGAAGAAAAGAGAGAAAGAGACACAGAGAAAGAGATATACAGGCCTGGGGAGAATGAGAAAGATGGAGACACAGATACACAGACACAGATAGACTTGGTGACCCACAGAGATAGAGACAAGCAGAGACTGAGCCTGAGATAGACTGAAAGACACAGGAAAACAGAGAGAGACAGAGACCCACAGACTGTCAGAGACACGGGGGAGAGAGCAGGAGACAGAGAGACTCAGCAAGAGTTCCAGAGGATGAGACAGAAGCACGCACGCGCCCACACATGCATACTCAGAGACAGACTCAAGGCACAGGGACAGAGGTGCACAGGGACAGAGGGATGCATGGCAGACGCATGCAAGGGCAGAGGAGATGGAACAAAGGTCGTGACAAAGACAGAGGAATGAATGGACAGCCCTGGGCACCAGAGGTCGTGACAAAGACAGAGGAATGAATGGACAGCCCTGGGCACCAGAGGAAGCAAGACGGAGCTGAGCACAGGAGAGCAGAAGGGAGGGCGATCCTGCTCCTCCCCAGGGCGGGAGCACAGATGCGGCTCCCAGGGGCGAGGAGCAGGGAGGACAGGCTCAGAGCACATCTGCCCAGCTGCCCCTGTGCCAGCCCCTGCCTGCAGGTGTAGACCGTGGTTGGTGTTAACATGTCTCCCATGGAGGTGAGAGCTGAACGCCATAATCAGCAGAGCTTAGGATGTCCTGGCACCTGGGAGAGGTCAGCAGACGCACCCTGGCAGTCATATGGAGTGCCTATGCTTCTGGTCATGAAGCAACTTGCCTGAGGCCATTGAATGCTAGTGGCATCCCACCTGCTAGAGACACCAGGGAAGGCACGAGGGGCCCGGTCTCTGTAGTTTGGCATTTCAGAACCCGGGAGCCCAGCCCTGGACTCCTCTAGGCCTGGGACGCTGGCTCTGGGGCCACCTCTCGGCCTGGGTCAGGATTTCTCTCAGAGCCCTTGCTGGGGGTGGCTGTGCCAGGGCCTGCCCACTGCTGCCACCCCATGGAGGAGGAGGGTAGCACACGCTGCAGGAACTGGCTTGGAGATCCTGTGCGCATCGGAGTCAGAAGCTCACCCCGCCCTCATGGACGGCAGGAGTAGGACTGAAGCCAGTGCCATCTGACTCCCAAATCTGTGCCTGTGCTAGTGGCCACCATACTCCCTTGCTCTGGTGGGCAATGCCAGGTGCACTGGATTCATTACCACATTTCCTTCCACAGTACCAGGCAAGAAGAGAGACTTAGAGGCAAAGTGTCCTACTCACAGGGGTCTCCTTTTTGGCTCCTCCTCACACTGGGAAGAAGCCTGCATCGGTTTCTCTCAATCCTCAGACAACGTGCCTGGCCACAGGTTACCTGCTTCCTTTTTGGGGCCTGAGCACAGGCAGGTGCTGCACAGGAGTGACCTCTGCCCATGGCAGGAGGTCAACTCACAGTGGACCTAAGAACCGTCTTGGACCTTCCTGGGCCTGTTTCTCCAGCTGCAAAACAGGGGGCTGTCACCTGAAGACACTTTTTGGGTGGACCTGAGTGGAAGGAGGATCTGCCCCTTGTCTAGAGAATTCCTGCATTCCTCCAAGTTCTATGAGAGTGTTTTATTTATAAGCCTCAGCCACCATTTAGTAGTGAATTAGAAAACAAGCTTTAAGAAACTAGACAGTTCTTGTTCAGTTTTTTTTTTTTTTTTGTCCTTTTTGAGACCGGCCGCACCGTGCTCAGCCGGTGAGCGCACCGGTCATCCCCATGTAGGATCCGAACCCGCGGCGGGCGCCGCACTGTCCCGAGTGCGCCACGGGCTCGGCCCATCTTGTTCAGTTTTATAAATTCTAGTGCACTTAGGTTTTATATATTTTTTACCACTCAATGGTTCTCGGTATATTATTTTAAAAATTGTGATAAATATATGTAACATAAAATTTTCTATTTTAAGAATGCAATCGTGTTATTTATAGCCTCTGGGCTACCTGAAAGGCTTCTCTGATCTCTCTCCCTCCCAACCACATTTAAGAGGATGAGCTAGGCCAGTCATAATTTTAACACTTACCCTGTCTCCCAGTGAGTGAAAGAACAAGTACAGGAAACAAGTTCTCCCCAGAGCCCAGATTGAATACCAAACAGCTGGCCCTGTGAGACTGTTTTTTTTTTTTTGCAGCTGGCCAGTATGGGGATCCAAACTTGACCTTGGTGTTATAACACTGTGCTCTAACCAAGTGAGCTAACCAGCCAGCCCAAGAGTATGCTTTTCTTTATTTAATATTTTACAAAGTTCAACAGTAATTACAGATGAGGGAAGTGATGAGGAGTAGGTTATAATTTAAGTACAGTCTTCACTATTCTGGTTTACTCTAATGACAAAAAATTGCAAAAGGAAGACTGTAAGACTGGATGTGTTTCTATCTGTAAACCTCACACAAGTGAGAACGTAACTCAAACATCAAGACTGGCCAAGAAAACATAAAGAGAAGAGCAAGCTCCTCACCAAAGAAAGAAAACCAGCTGTGGCCAGGGCTGGCCCCATCTCTTTAGAGAAGCTCAACAAGCAGGTCCCAGCTCCTCTGTACAAAGTCCTGCTTCAGGGTGGACATTTTAGGCTCTTTCACCACCTCACATGCCAAGCAAACCCAAGTTCCCAGTTAATCAATCAGCTTTCCTTATTCTAGACTTAATCTCCACTAAGTAATCTTCACTGAGAAAACCAGGCTGTTCTCTAGAAATTGTAAATTCAAAGTGGACACTAGACGATCCCAATACCCTCCAGCACCATGCTCTCCCAAGTGAGTTATGGGCCGGCCCTAAGCTAAGAATTCTTTATAGAGTCGAGTCCATTAAAAGGGCCTCACTCAGCATGCCGTTAAATCTTGGCTCTCTGAAGTCAGTTTGAGAAGAGCAGACAGAAGCCAGGCATTGACTGTCTAAAACTATCTCTGGAACACTGACATAGTTAGTGCAAACTGTTATGAACATGACCCTACTCACTCAGGTGCTCATCTGGGGACACACTTTCCCCTAACTTAGTTACTTATGGATGGGAGGCAAGTACCGAAAAGCTTTCTGTAAACACTTACCCACCAAGGAAACAGGTGCTCGTTGGCGAGCAGCAACTGCTGTAGAGCTACAGCAACACTTGGGGAGGCAGGGAGACAGGAGCACAAGCTTCACCCCAATCACATCAGAAAACCACAGTGACCGGGAGGCCCAGCTGGCCCTCTGGAACATTCGCACACTGCACAGGTCCTTCAGAGATGGAGTCCACTGGACCCCTGGAAAGGTTTGTAGAGCTGGATTTCAAGTCTCTGACCCCAAGAAATCTTTACAGACTAAGGTGCCAACTCCTCAACCTAGAGCGGAAGGGCTTTTCAGGCTTTGGGATCTCCCCACTTAAACAAAACCCCAGCAAGCTTCACATCCTCTCTGCCCTCGCTCTTGGCTGGGAAGCAGTCAAGCAAATAGTCACCCCAGGCACTCTCCTGTAAGTGCCTGCCCTGCCCACCTTCTTTTCTTAAAAGTCAGCTGTATCCAGGGCTCTCCCCTCATCACCTGACACTCCCACCTCAAGGTAAGCGAGTTCAGCAATGGGCGGGCCCTCCACCCCCAGCCTCCCTTACAGCCAGGTCTATCCCAAACATGCCTTGAAGCTGAGCTCTGCCCACTAGGACCGTCTTTGCTTGCCTACTAAAGCAGATGAGAAAAACTACCAAACAGCAAACTATACAGCAGTACCTCCTCAAAAGAGGATCTCCTTGCCATAAAGTAGCACCCAGAATTTATTTTATGGACAGCTGTTAAAAACAGGCACGCAATATGTTGATTTCCTCTATCTTGGAAAAAAAAATTGTTCCTTTTCCTAACAAAAAACTACTGCCAGACTTCTAAGAGTTTTGTCTGATTAGGAAAATTACATTTTTAGGAAGGGGAATAAAAAAGGAAGAAAAAACTGGCATCCTATTTCTAATCATCACTTTTAAAATAATTTCACTCATTGTTCCTTTTCCTAACAAAAAACTACTGCCAGACTTCTAAGAGTTTTGTCTGATTAGGAAAATTACATTTTTAGGAAGGGGAAAAAAAAAGGAAGAAAAAACTGGCATCCTATTTCTAATCATCACTTTTAAAATAATTTCACTCAACTTATAACTTAAACTATACACTCTTAATTTAGACAGTCACCCAAATGTAAAATGGCTAATCTCACCAATAGCTAAAAAGAACACAAAAATAAAGACAAGCATTAAATATTATGTAAGGTTTTCTTTTATTTAAAAGATCATTCACAAAATACCATATCCATAGATTTACTTTCTGTCATATAGCTGAATGTGTTGAGTGTTTGGAATTGCATTCTTACATTAAAAGTCAACTGGATTGCCCAGTTTAGGTGAATTTGTTTTGTTCTTTATCTTTTCCACACTGAAGATGTAAGTAGCTCATCTGAAAGCATCAGGTTTGATTACAACCACATAATGCATGTCTTTCTTAAGTTAAGTATTGGTGTTACACAAATGGTTCTTATCTCAGCAGAGAAGCTGACAGGTAGAAGGATGGAAAGGCATGAGAGTTCTGTAAATTGCTGAGACCTTGTAACAAAGACACAGTAAGAGAAGCCAAGGATGACAGCTAGTGACCAACTATGACCTAAGCACACTACGCTGCATAAGCCAGGCCACCCCTTGGCCCTCTGGTCAACCTGGCCAGGGTCTCTCTCTTCCCCAGGGCTCTAGCTGTTGGTGGACCTCGATCTGCTCCCAATGGGACAGACTGAGACTCAGGTACTAAAGATTTTTCATTTGTTTTTCACACACAGGTGTTCAAGCTCAAAAGCTATTGCCTAACCCCTACTCCCAGGTAAGTGCTGAACACTGTATGTGGAAAAATAAACTTTGTCCGAAAGATGAGGCAGCAAACCTCGAAATTTACAGTCATTTACAGTTATCTTAAGGTTCTTGACAGCTCTGCATAGTAAAAATTTCCAATCATCAAGTGAAATAAAGTGCCTGATTCTAGGCCCATGCTCACTATGAATTTCTGGGGCAGTGGGAAGCAGTATCTCATTATGTTACTTACACTGGGAAACAGACGAATACAGGGAGAGATGCAAAATACACAGAAAGGGACTCAGACAAAAGTAACGTCAATGTTATGAAGTTAGCTCCAGCACCACCACCCTCAATCCCCGAAGCGCCGCAACCCAGCGGAAATGAAACCAACTGGCAGTGGGCTACCCCCAGCCAGAAAGGAGCCCCACATACACCTAGTGAAAGGTGTTAACTAGTTTGGACAGGGTCTCCAAAAAGCGGTAACAACTCCCCACCAATATTCCACACTCCTTTCCTTTCAGGTTGCACTGTTTGAAATGTGAGTCTATTCTTCTGCTTGAAAAATCCATCTGGGGAGGTGGTAATGGAGATAGGACCACCTGTAAACAGGAATGGGAAAGAATCTGCAAGGATCAACAATATTTTATACTTGTTTTAAAAATAAGGTGCCTCAAATTTTGTATGTTGATCACAGCTGAATAAAAACAATATGCTATTCAATTTGTCAGAGACTTCTGCTTTTTTCTTGGAAGCCACAGCAATACAGAACTCAACATGCAGGTAAGAAGAGAAGCACAGAAAATCAAAGGAAACACCCGGAGTCTAGCCAGTATGTCTAAACTAAAAAGACAAAGCAAAGGAGAGAAATGAAGCAGCACCTTCACCCAAACAACTCCCACGTGGTGGCCGCCTTCGCTCCTCCACGGAAACCTGTGTGCTGTAAGGAAAACAAGGAGCAAGAAGGAAAAAGGACAAAGGAAAGTGGGGAAGGAATAGAAGGGGGGAAAAAAAAGCACAAAACGGGCACTAGGTAGATACAGCAAAGCCAAGGATGTACTAAAAACCACTTGTTAACAGCTGACATGCATTCACAAGCTCTGTGTTTCCACTGTAAGAAAGGAGGACAATGCCAGGCGCAGGAATGGGAGCTGCAGGACTGCCGGCCCAGGGGAAGAGCTGGGCTGGGGTCTTGCTCTACTTCCCCCCACACCCCATTCCCTCCCAACCACGAGCTCATTCTTGCTCCTTCTGAACGACTTCCTCTCTGGGCCTGGCTCCCCCAAAGATAGCAGAGTTGGGGTTGGCTACTTGATTGAGGGGTGTTGCAACTGTTCGAGGTTTGAGCTGGAGTCGTGGTCTCTGTGCTCTTTCCTCTGGGCGAGAAAAAAACATGGTTTATTAAGAATGGATCCCACTGCACATCCCAGGCAAAATGACAAAACTGATGTTGATCTCAACAACCCAGCATACTTTCTAAAATGAACAGACTTAAAACCTACTATTTCATCACCAGATACGCTATATGCCATGAAAAGATGCTCTTCACTCATGAATGACCCCCATACCTTCTGTTGGTTCTCTGAAATCCATATTGGATCCGCGAAGGGGAGGGCCATCTCTAAAACGACTCCCCATGGGAGGGCCTGTTCGCCGGTCACCTGGACGACTACCTCCCCTGCCTCCTAGGAAGTCGTCCCTGAAGCCTGAAGAAGAAAGATAACACTGAATTACTGTTTAAACTATCATCTCAAAGCAGGTTATATTGTCTTTGTGAATTATTTCTCAGTTTAATTTTAAATTCTTTACTTAGTCCAGTATCTGAAGTTTTTCCAAAATAAAGTGCACTGAAAATGAGTCCAAATGTGAATCTGCTAGGTAATTACAATGCTAACAGGCTTTTTAAATAAAAAAGAATCAGAATCTTAGGAGATGAAAATAAAATGAGCTATTTAAATTCTCAGCTTGAAGTGGAAAAATACCAGGAGACTATATTCTAATATGGCTTAAGCCAAAAAAAAATCCTCAAAGCAGGTTTATTGTTTTCTAATATAAATCTATACAGTTATATTTAGAGGTATTTACAGCCTAGAACACAACATCACAAGAAAAAGCTACATGAAGACAAAATAAAAATACGAAGTCACCTCTGGGTGACACTCCCCATTTTCCTGTTTCTGGTGTGGGTCACTGTAAAAGCAAAGCGCCCGCGTGGTAAACAAAGCAGTTACCCAAGGAAGGCACATCCCCCCTTCACAGAAGCATGCCCAGGGAGCAGACTGCCCCAGGCCCCACCCGTGTCACACTGCTGGTGGTTAAGGGTTCTTCCTCGTTCAACTACCTGTCTACTAAAACAACTCTCAACAGAAGTCAACTGCACTTCACTTAGAATGTCAGAATTGTCACCAGTGTGTAGAAGGAAGAATATTTTCTTTACAGACTTTAATAACCTTAGAGGCTTTAGTCCTGCATTTAAGTGAAAGTCTTTGACTGTGGGTGGTGGATTAAGCTAATTAACCTTTTGACAGTATAGCCTATGAAGTTACAGTTAAATTTCAGTAAAAATAAAACCATAATTAAACAAATGGGTTTGCCCCACTGTTTAAGCTCCCAAAGGTGACTACCTTTCCTCTCTCCAAGGATGACTCACAGCTTTTTAGGAACTTATCTTCTATGTACATTCTTCTATATACAATCGATCCTCATTACTCACAGATTCTGTATCTGTAAATTCATCTACTCACTGAAATTTAAGTGTAACCCGAAACCCACACTGGCGGCATGTCTGCAGTCGTTCAGAGGCAAGCACAGAGCAGTGGAGGACTGAGTCGCGATGCACTCGCTGCCAGCGCAGGCACAAACAGGCAGCGCCCACTGTCCTGCTTCAGCTCTCATACCGTACATGACTATCCTTTTCAAGATCTCTTTAGCACCAGGTTTTTTTGCCCTTTTGTGCGTTTAGCTGGTAATTTTGCTGTTTAAATGGCCTCCCAAATGTAGCAAAGTGTTGTTTAGTACTTCTTCTTTTTTTTTTTTAATCCTTTTTGTCTTTTTTCGTGACCGGCAACAGATCACAACCCTCAGTGTCGCGCCCGTACCGGACCGGGACCGGCCATGGGATCGCAACCCTCAGTGTTGCTCCCGCCCCTCGCTCAGCCAGTGAGCAGCCGGTCTGTATGTGGGATCTGAACCCTCCGCGGGAGCGCCGCCGCGCTTCCCAAGCGGCACACTATAGCAGTGTGCCACCAGGCCGGCCCCCTGTTTAGTACTTCTAAGTGCAAGAAGGCTGGAACATGCCTTATGGACAAAAGGCATGAGAGTTATAGTAATCATAGAGAACTACAGTTAGTCGTGAGGTCAATATTAATGAATCATGCTACCTATTAAATAAGGTGTCTTTAAACAGAAGCACACATAGAACATTGGTTGATGAAAAGGTTATGACCAGAGGCTCGCAGTAATCTAACCCTGCATTTGCTCTAGGAGCAACAGTTAAGTATTGGCTAATTCAGCGTTCTTGGTGACTTTATGGGACATAACTTCCTTGAATAATGAGAACCGACTGCATCTCCAATCGTGGTATACTTCTGTTAAGGGTGGCAAGGATTTTGGAAACAGATCAAGTTACTTGAAACCCAGTTCAGAGACTGAGTTTAGCAGTATAAATTTTTTAAAAAGTATACATACATTTTAGCAAAACAAGTAATAAAAGCAACTCTAAATGGATTTAGACCAATTGGTGCACTGGTTAGGGGAAACACACTTGGACACCTCCAGTGAAGTATAAAGTTCTTCACAAAATCTTTTAACAACCAGAGCGTACACACTTCATTGAGCTTAATTAGTGTTCAGACATTCCACCTGACACTTCCCCAAACTAAACTGTGAAGTGTGCCTTTCCATATGAGTATGGAGGTATGCCCCTTTAATTTGAGATTATTTTTCTGCCAGTGGTTAGCATACAACAAATCAGCTCACACCCACACTGATGAGGCAATAAACACAACTGCTACTTTGTCCAGGTGCATGACAAAGTACAGCAAAGTCAGTGTACATTAATATCAAGTGAAAACCTCATTTTATAATCTCTTACAAAACAGGCAATGGGAAAATTACGAAGGAAAAGCAAGGTTTGACATCAACAAATATCTTTAAGTTTGTTGAAAGATTTCTAGGAAGCACACTATTCATTAGAATCTTCAGAGTTTTCTTTACAAAGTTTAGTTCACCACACTGGCTATTTCTGCTAGTGGGATGTTTTTATTTGCTTTCTTCTCTGTATTTTTTTCTGTATTGATTTTTTTTTTAAACAATGAGCATGTATCATTTCAAAAAACAGCACCCTTACATTAAAGAGTAAAAGATCTATTTTCACAAGTAATGTATAAAGCACCAAATTAGCTACTACTCTATCAGGTTTTAGATGTCACCAAAATACTGTAGTTCACAGAACTGGTGGGTGGCAAGGCAGTGTGGCTCTGGCTGTGTTTACTGTGTTTCTCTGTTGAGTGTCAAAGGCCAGGCCAAGCCAACAGCAGGAAGATGTTAGTTACTCAGGTAACTTCCACAGCTTCCGAGCCATGAGCTGCCCATGCTACTTCTACAGCACCTGTGAATGCAAAACTGGCAGGTCCAAGGCCATCTTTCATTGAGCTACTAACTATTGCACTTGGGTTGGCTTTGAGAAGACATCTGTCGCATGTTTCAATCAGAGACTAGCTTATACATAAAATTACAGGTTTACTGGATTATACTGTACTTTTATGAATAAGCTCATTTCTGACTGGCTACAGGACTTTAATGAATTAAATTATTCAACAGATAATTAGTCACCTGTTTAGCTAAAGCAGTACTGGAAAAGAATTTTTAAAAATTTCTCTCAAAAGACAGCTTGCACCAGGCCTTCCCATACTTACCAATTCTTTTTTAGTTTTGTTTTGATGAGGGGAGTGTAATGAGGCGGGGTGCTGATATTCTTACCTTACATAGTGGAGAGTGCAGAGAGAGCATCTCAAATTTGTGGGAAAGAAACAGACTTGTTTTTCTTTTTCTACCTTTCTGTCACAATTGACATTTTAACCCTATATATGAGTTACTTTTATCATTAAAAAACAAAAAGTAGAGATGCAAAAATGCTTAGGAGAGATCAATCCTTCAAAGCAGAGGCCTGGTATGCAAACTGACCTCCTGAGTTAAGACATCTAACAGTCTGCCTGGGTTGGCTAAGAAAGGGAACGGTGAAGTGGACCATGTCCACCATTAAGGGATGGGAGTTCCATGCCCTTCAAGAAAAAAAATAGCCCACCCGGAATACCCTTTACCATCTAAGAAGGAGCTACCAGGAATGACAGATATGAGGCTTTCTGTAATCTTCCAGAACCTCTATACTGTTACCTCTAAAAGTGACAGTACTTCTTTGTGCCGTAGACAAAACAAAAGAGTTTCCTGGGCTGGAGTCTGATAAAGACTACTGAGCGAGATCAAGGCCCGTACACACCTGAGAGACAGCAGGCAGACAACAGGCAACATGGCAAGGTGCACTGGTCTGACCTGCTCACAGTGTGGGTCCTTTCAAGTCCTACTCCACATGGGCTCTACCAGAGGCTTACTTGCATGCCTGGGTACCTTTCAGGAAAGTTTCATTTGTGAAAGGAACTAGAGAAGTAGTCCGGCCAGGCGGGCTACTCACAAGAAATGTACAACAGCAGCAAGGCCACTGGAAAAAAGGTAAGTGGTGATACTTTAAATACTGATACCGGAATTGAAGTCATCCCGGGAATCCCATCCACCTCTAGATTCTCGAGAGCCACCCATTCCTGAGGATACACAAAAAAGATAAAAGTTGAGGTCGTATCATTACCTTGCTGCACAAACATGGAAAAATTCATTTGGAAGATGTATAACTAATGTGATGGGAAGTTGAATGAAATCATTATAAGAGTTCTTGCTGCCAACAGAAAAAAAAAAAACAACCCAGGCTTGCAGAAGCATCATCTGTTCTTTCTGTGATTTTACGTGTATTTTTAAAAGCTCACAAGAACCTATCAAACCTATGAGACAGAGTTCTGCTAGTAATGTTCAAGAATTGTAATCAGTGGGCACACAGCAAGTTTTTATGTTCAGTCTTAGAAGAACCAATCACCTCTGTCATCTGGTCCACCTTTCCTGAATCCAAAGCCACCTTTATCTTGTTTTCTGCCTTCTGCAATGTCCACACGAAGCAACCGATCACCCAACAGCTAATGATAAGGGGAAAATAGTGTAAGTACTGGCAAGGAGAAAAGTCTCAACTGTTAATATGACAGAGAAAACCTGAGGATACTTACTGCACCATCATATGTCAGAGCTTCCTTAAGGGAATCCACCTCATCGAATTCTACATAGCAGAATCCTGTAAGAGAAAATAAACCCCCAATTTCCTAAAGTAATTCTGAGTTAAAGATATGATATGATCCTATCTGTTTCACTTCCCTATGTAAGAACTCCCATTTTTGTTGCATCTAGATGAGAGCAGACTATTAGAGCCTGAAAGAGCATATTTCACTTTCAGTAAATAAAACTTGACTGGTATTTCTCCCTCTCAATTACACTTTATCAGTCAGAAAATGCTAATCAAACAAGCATGGAAAGCAGCTGTGTTTTTATAAATCTTTTTCTTGTATGTTTTAACTATGATATTAAAGCCTTTCTTGGGTTACTCTAGAGCTGCTCTGACTTCTAAATGATTTTATTTAATATAATCTAATTTGGGATTAGATTTCATAGATTTCAAATTTGATACCTAAAATGCTTTGAAGAAGAGGCTTAGGGTGCCTATTAACTTACTACTCAGGTAGGTAATACAAAAATTTTTGCTTTACAAAGCTAAAAAATATATCCTGGGTGACAAGGGTATTCTCCTCTGGATGTTAATTAAAAGACAGATGGCCTAGGTCCAAGCATGTTACTACTGACAACCGTGTCCCTAATGCTGAATTCTGACATTGCCCCTTCCTTTCAGTCTGGAGTCTAAATCTGGGTTAAGCAGTCTGCCACCCCTAAACTGCAACCTGTATCCCCCCCCAACCCCCGCCGAGTATCCTAATTCTGTTTAATCATTACACTTCATCTTTGAAGTCCCTAGACCAAAGGTGCTTTGAAGGCCTTAGTCCAAACTTTTCCTGTTCACCATTTGTGTAAAGAACGTACTGCCATGGCTGGAGGCCCCCCTGCCCCCAGCTTTCTTCCCTAAGTGGATTCAATGTTGATAGTAATTGAGAAAACCACTCCCCAGATCAAAATGGTAACAGCCCAGTCATGCGTCTCATACTCTAGAGCTACTAAACTGAGGATGACTCTATGAGACAAGTTCCAGAACCTGCTGCTACTGACCCAGCCCAAAGGCTAGGTTCACCCCCAAATTTTTATAGTTTGAATTCCTAAGGCTTTCTGGGAGGCAAGCTGGGTGGGATTTACTTTCACAAGCTTAACTGTTACTTATTTTCATTGTTTGATCACATTCTATATACATGGATTTAATAATAACATCTATACACAAACCACTCAGATCAGCAACAACTTCTCTGCTTCTTGTACAGCTCCTCACCATAAGACAGACACTCTCTACTTTTCATGGATGTGCTTCTGGATGAATATATAGGGCAAATGGCCTTATGCCTAGCATCATGAACTTAAGTACCAGACACATTTCTGTTCAGGAAACCTTGAAAGCAGGATAATGCTCATCTGATCCTTCATTCTGACTCCTCTCTGCTCAAGCACCCTAAAGAGACTAATCTACAGACACCTACTTTATCTGAAATTTGAGCCAACCCTGCCAAACACATGCTCTGAATTTACAAACATATACCAACAACTCTTACTAGGTTATCTTTTGGATTTCATAATAACTGGATTATAGAAAAACTACCAAGAAAAATGAGTCGGCCAAGGTGAAATGTGCCTTAAAAGCCCTCAGTTTTATCTATTCACTTCTCTCCTGGGTAAGTTTTTTACTGGCAAAGACAGGATTGCTATATGGGCAATCATGGAAATATGCACATATTTCTACACACTAGGCTGTGTAAAACATTTTCTCCCCAGTGGAACTGAAGACCTATGAGTTAAAGAGCTATGTTCATTCCAGTTACTTGGACCAGGCAAATACGTAAAACTTTCATGACTTTATTTTCCTATTTATTTTTTTAAAAAACTTCCATGATTTTCAACTTCTGGTTCACTAATACATTTTCATTTACACTCCCCTACTCCCCACCCATTACAGTAATTACATTTAGTCTCCCCTACCCGGACCCTTTTCAGTAATATACAGTAAGAATTCCCCCAAACTCACCTTTAAATTTGTCTGTGTCTTTGTCTCTGACTAGCCGTACACTCCTTATGCTGAGATCCTTAAAGATAGCATCTATGTCGCCCTGAACCGTATTAAAAGGTAGATTTCCTACGTATGCTGTGTAGGGGGGCTCTGTGGGCAGCTCCTTCTGGCTACGGGAACCATGGCCACCAGCACTGCCGCGGGACCTAGGAGGGGAGACAGACAGGATTCAAGTCTGCCGTGTGTTCCTGCCCCGGAGCAGGACAAGCAAAGCTGTCCTTCACTTGGTGTCACATCAGCCAGCAACAGCATCCCAGGTAAAACACTCCGTTCTAACACATAACAACAGCTTCTTGAAATCTTAAAGAGTATTATAAAACATAATTTATCAAAAAGAAGCCTGTTCTTTTCTGGCGGCAGGCTAGAACGGGGATCTGAACTCTTCGCCTTGGTGTTGTAACACTGCGCTCTAACCAACTTAGCTAACCGGCCAGCCCAAGGTGCCTGTTTTTTGGTGACAGAAACATCCACACACATTTCTGAAAAATCAATTCCAAACATCACATATCCTTCTAAGACAACTGGTTTTCTCCTAGTCACTTAGAATCTGTATCTGCAAAATGTTTAAATCCTAAAACCTAAGTAAACACCTTCCTTCACATACAATACTAAATACAGAAATGAACTGTTTACAAATGCTCTCATTAAAAGTTTAGATGTTGTGCAGCAAGAACTATGTACACACTACTCTCCACTCTGTGCACTGCTTACTTGGTCCTCAGACATACAGTGTGTAATATTAATGCATTAATATTAATTCCTCAGTGGTAATAATAGTTGTTTAACCCGTCAGAGGTATTAATTTAAATCCCAGCTCTGCCACTTATTAGACACATGACCTTGAGGAGTTACTCAACCTCTCTAAGCTTTATTTTGTAAAATTGTGTTAAAACTAAAACAGACCTTGAGTTATGAAAAACAACAAATATAAGGTGCCTTACACAGTGCCTAACAGTGTACATGTAGTAGCAATCACCATTATCACTTCCATGTACAACCTGAATTTTTTAAAAATTCAAAAACAAATGAGGTCATCATACATTTGTCTAAACCTACCGAATGTACAACACCAAGAGCGATCTCTAATATAAACTGTAGACACTGGGTGATGTGTCAATGTTGGTTCATCGATTGTAATAAATGTACCACTTTGTAATAAATGTACCACTTTGGTGCGGGACATTGATAGTAGGGGAGGCTCTGTGTCCGGGGGTCAGGGGATATACAGGAACTCTGTACCAATTTGTTGTTGGTGGCTGGCCGGTGTGGGGACCGAACCCTGGACCTTAGTGTTATCAGCACCACACACTAACCAACTGAGCTAACTGGCCAGCCCCCTTTTGCTCAATTTTGCTATGAACCTAAAATGGCTCCAAAAAATAAAGTCTATATAAACAAATAAATAAATGCATATATAAATAACTAAGAGCTCTTCTTCACATTAGCTGAAGAATATCAGCTAATAAATGTAGAAGAAATCATATACAAATGACCCTTGACTTAAGATTTTTCACTTTACAATAGGCTTATTGGGACATAACCCCATCATAAATCAAGGAGATCTGGACTTATGATGGTCCAACTTACGGTCTTCTGACTTTTCGATGGGTTTACCAGGGTATTAAATGCATTTTTTTTTTTTTTTTTTTTTGGTGGCTGGCCGGTATGGGGATCTGAACCCATGACCTTGAGGTTATAAGGCTGCACTCTAACCAAATGAGCTAACCGGCCAGCCCTTAAATGCATTTTTGACTTATGATGAGTTTATCAGGACATAACCCCATGCATGGTAAGTCGAAGAGCACCTATAACTAGAAAACCACTACTCCCAACCACCAATGTAGTAATTGATTCAGGCAAGGCTCATCAATGGATGTCAAAACCAGACTAATATGGTTTTGTGAGAATAAGATATTCAAATGAACTCAAACTACCACCCTGCAGATTTATTAATATCAAGGGGGAAAAAGGTTCTTCTCAAATGGAAAAATCTCAGTCACCATCTTAACCAGGTAATTGAACTTCTTATCACTAATAAAAGGACAAACTTACATTATATACCTCCTATTTTGGCAAGGATTCTTCAAATATGTCAGTCATGAAAGACAGATATAATAGAAAAGGCAGCTGGAGAAAGCTGATTATGGCCATTAAGTAGACATGGTACTGCAGTTAGCAGAATGCCCCTGTTCTCAGGAGGGATTTGAAGAAGCAAGGAATGAAGTGTCAAGACAGCCAATATTTATTTTCAAACAGTCCAGCATAACAGACATGTGTGAAAGTATATATTTATAAGGATAAAGCGAATGGGACACAACATTACCTTGTGAACCCACCAGTGGCCACTGTAACATTCTTTCAACCTTACTACAGGTTTGAAACTTTTCAAAATAAAACGTTTGGAAAACTCAGGAAGATAAAAATTAAAAGGGGGGGGGGGCTGTTCTTTTTGAAGGGATATTTAAAACAAATACAACAATCACAGATCTGCTCAAAGTCATCCTTCTTTTTGTAGAGGAAATACTAATACCATCTTTAAAAAGCAACTTGATTTTTTATCCGTATATTGCTAGAAATATCATGAAGGAAATTTCACATCTTCCTAAAGATAAATTCCAGCTATCTCTAATAGTGACAATATCATTCTTTAAAACATTTTTGTAACGCAGAAGGACCAAACTATGACAGTTCTTAGATAGTGAAATTTTAAGTTGAATAATTCAGAATTCTACTACCTCCCAATAAGAAGTCCTGAATTCTGTTCTAAGAACACCAGAAAAGTAGGTTTCCAAGTGCAAGCATCCCCCCTCACTCCCACCACCCTCCCAAGTTCAGTAAAGGTGACTTATTTTGCATTTCAATACCCTTTGCCAACATTACTGTTCCTAGTCCACAAACATGAATCCTAAAATATTTTCAATAAGATATTCTTTAGGACTGGATAATGAATATATAAGATACAGTATAACATTTGGAAAACTGTCAAAACGGAAGATGAATTATAGAACACTTTAAATTTACTTATTCAACATTCAGTATACATCTGATGACAGAAAATATTCTCTGTGCTCAAACAGCTCACAACTGAGTAGCACATATAAAACATATTTAACTATACACGTATACATGCAGGCATGTGTATATATGTGTATATATACACTCATACATATATATATATAAAAGCAAAAAGCCATAGTGATTTTTTAAAATTTAAGGTGAGGGTGAGTATGAAGAGAGATAATATAAATTTGCAGATGTTTGATGAATAAGGAAAATAGAGGTAGAAAGGCTTGCTAAAAGGGCATATTAAATGTTTGTATGAGAATTTACAGAGAGTCCTGGATGTAGGACTGAACAAGTACGGTTAGACCTGATCTCTGCTTGGTATAGGGAGCCTAAGTGAATGCTAACAAGATGATGGGGGCGCTAATCAAAATGCAGTAGGATAGGAAAGTGTTTCTAATTTTGGGGAAGATAGAAAAACCCTGTTTTAGGCAAGCAGTATTTATTTGAAGAGCTAGCTAAATATCAAATGGAAGCATCTAGTGGCTAACTGGTGATGTAATTCTGAAGCACAGAAAAAACAAGCCCATCAACTTGTTCAGCTCACCCTAGCCTCACAAAATGCCAGTGGCTTAATACTCCAGACTTTTTCAATAATTACCAAAACAGTCCTAAATATTATCTTAAATGTAGATAATCAGTTCTACAGGACATAAGCACTTCTCAGCTTTTCATCCATTAGTTCAATGAAGTCACTACAGGGCAGTGGGGCTAGGGCCATCTAGGCAGAATTTGTTTACACTAACATTTCTAGTATCTGCTGTGTGCCAGCAACTTGAGAGACAAGGGTGAGCAATACAAACCCCACAGAGTGCACACGCATATAAGATGACACGATTCTGTTACCCAGCAATGAATTAAAACAATCAAATGTCAGAGAACTCTGAGCCAAAATGCCTAAAATACCTTTGACACTAGATTTAAATTTGGAGGGAACTATAAACAAGTTTTGTTACATGAAAACATTTTCTTACAAGGTTAAAAACAACACATGAGAGAAAAGATTCCTCTGACACAAGTTGGCTTGGCGTACGACCTATGCCAAATAACATCTGTACCTTGGTTTTCTTTTCTGTTATTTTATAAATACTTCGAAATCTTGATTTTATAAAGAACTTTAAAATTGTAAAAACACTTCATAAATATTGAGTGCTACATAAAAGTTTAATAACAATTCTAAAGTGTTCATAGGTAGAATGAACCCCTGAGGCTACACTGTACCAGCAGGAGCAGCTGTGAATGTAAAACAGGAAACAGACAAGCAAATGGCAGGTCCAGGCAGGACCCCTCCCTGCCAATTCAGAACAGACCCCTGAGGTCAAGGTCTGTGCTCCAAATTCTCTGGTCTATCACCTGCCACCACTGAGCAGTGATCCTGTCTGCTTGTTTCTTACTGCTCATTGGAGGCAGTTTATTGATCATTAAAGCAATATGTGGGTACTCAAAAAGGTTTGTGGAAAAATATAATTAAAAGATAATACAAATCTTTCCATGAACTTTTGAAGTACTCTCGTATATGTAAGTTTTAAAGTAGTAAATTACACCAATTAAAAGATAATACAAATCTTTCCATGAACTTTTCGCACTCCCAAGTGGCGCACTGTAGCAGTGCGCCACTGGGCCGGCCCTTTCCATGAACTTTTGAAGTACTCTCGTATATGTAAGTTTTAAAGTAGTAAATTACACCCTCAGTAATTCAGAAAATCCTAGTGTGACCAAAATCCTTTATCCTTTACAGACAAATCATTTTTCTCCACTCATATCAACCAAATATCTGAATTATCTGTGATGAAGGCACAAACCTAAGACTCAGTACCTGCCCTCAAGTAGCTAATAACTGAGTGAGCCCCAGCTTCTGGAAAGGAGAAATCGCATCATCAGCAAAGGAGTGCAGGAAACTCAGGAGACAGTGATAAGAATGCCCTCTCTAGGGTGGAGTGGTTGGGAGTCAGAATATATATAGCAACAGAACATGGACTCCCCTCTCCAGACTGCAGACAGGGAAACCACTCTTAGGATGAATTAGCAAAGATACGTAGGTATAAAAAAAGGAGACTAGAGGAAAGGTGACTATAAAAGAAATCAATGAAAAATGAAAAGAGCATGGAGATTATTAGGCCTGGGATCCGACCCAGTAAGTAGATGAAATAGAAAATTAAGTGCTCAAGACTTATTTCTTTTTTCTTTTTAAAAAAAGATGGCTGGTAAGAGGATTTTAACCCTTGACTTGGTGTCGTCAGCACCACACTCTCCCATGTGAGCTAACCACCATCTCTATATAGGGATTCGAACCCGTGGCCTTGGTTTTATCAGCACCACGTTCTCCCAAGTGAGCCACGGGCCGGCCCTTCAAGACTTATTTCTGAGCTGGCTGGTTAAGTTGATTGGTTAGAGCATGGTGTTGATCACACCAAAGTCAAGGGTTCGGATCCCCTTACCAGCCCACCATAAACAAAACAAAGTAAAACCAAAAAACTTACTTCCAAAGTAAAAAACACAATAAAAATGAAGGATACATGCTAAATTTTTCTGGACTCCAGACATTAACAAAAGCAAATAAATGTGTTATTACTTTAATAACTTCACATGGGTTAAAAAAAAAAAAAGGCTATTTAACCCAAAAGTTCCAGATTTTTCAGAAGAAATAAAACCTTAAATCTCAAGTTATTTACTGGTTCTATGAGAGAATACTGTCACAAAAAACACCAGTCTTAAAAAGTTATGAAGTAAACTATTTCTATGGATTAGTTTTAAGCCTTATAGGCCAAGAATTCTTTTTTCCTAAATTAGAATAATTAGAATGCTAACTTGAGATGTGACATTCTACATATTATCAGCTCCAATTTATTTATGTTTTCAGCTCCAATTCATTTGAAATGATTCATACAATGTTGATTTGATATGATCAGCAAATAA